CAAAATGTTTTTATAATGAAAAAGTTTGATTCCTTTAATCTGTGTGCTCCACTATACTTTGGACCAAATATTTCAAGTGTTTCCTGTTATATGAATCCCTTTATTTGTATTGCCTCATTGAAGTAAATCATACTTTATTGATGAAAGCAAATCTATGACTGATTTTATTGTTTAATTTAGGCCACACGAGGTAAACACGTTATGGATTACAGAGTAGGCCTACCTGCTTAAATTGTGATGTTCATGTAATAATTTTGATTACTGAAACTCTCTAATGACCTGTAATAACCTGATTAGTTGTAGGCTAGTTGCTTAGACCCCTAATTGTGCAAAAATCTGCATTCAAAGAAATTAAACTGTAGATCATTCACCTCCGCAGGAAAATATGTCTCCCCAGCAATGTAGCCTACTTGTTTGCTTGTTTGTTGTTCTTAAATAAATATACAACAAGAAGAAAATATGGAAGGTTATGCATATCACAGTAAAGTAGACTGTAGCCTACTTTCCAAATAAGAAGTCTCCCTCCTCTATCAGTATTTTCCTTCGTAATGAGACACGGATACAGGCAAGCAGGTAAGCACATCATTTTGTGCTATTGAAATGTGCGATGCACCACAGCGCAATCACCATCAGGTGGACAACGCCTGGTGCTGAAATTATAGACAGCAAGCAACAGAGCATGTTTGTTGAGAGGGTTCATAATCAATGCATGGAATAATGCAATATGGCACTATGGACAATAACATTTAAATCATAACATTTTGAGGCCAACTGGTGGCTTCTTACCTCAATTATCTCAAGACATGAGAATTGTATCAGATTCTTGTCTAAAAAGTCTCCAGAAAAGTTGTCTGAATCTTTGACCTCTTGAAACATGTTCATCCAAAACTGTGCATGTTGTTTCCTTAAAAATCCCCACCAGTTGTCAATGCGCTGGTTATGATTGCTTGACCCATACAAATAGCACATTGGAGAAAATTCATCAGCATTATCATTTCTCAAGAACATTTGCATCTGCTCCATGTGACCGTTCTCTGTTCCCATGTCCGACCGAATCCTGGTAGCAGTTCCATTTCTTGTTGCCACTTCGTCCATGAAGTATCCAGCGACGACCTTGGGATTGCTACTTGTAGAATATGCATGGAGCCATATGACCAAACGTGAAAACCCGTCGATTGCACCGTTAATGCAGATCCCATATGGTTTCAGTTTATCATAGGAATTAACATGCCACAAGAAATTCGGACCTGGGTTTTGGTATAGGCGCCGTCACAGGCGATTCCGGCGCTGCAGTTGAACTCCATGGGGATCCAGTATTTTCAGCAAATGCTTAATCGTATTTTGAGTCACCACATAGCCAGCTTGAATGCATTTCAGATGCATTGCTTTATATCCGTGAAGCATACCGTATTTATTCAACTGATCCTGCAGGAATAACGCAATGTCAAGTAGGTCAGAGTGTTCTTTCCGTCTGAACAACCTTAACGCCTTCAGATGCCTGCGCAAAGTTGACAAGCTCATGACAATACCATCTCTGTCACTCAAAGACACTAATATTTCCTAATGTCTGAACCCGAGATGGAAATAAAACGCAATCAAATCAATAACCCTGGTCATCGTTGCCTTTTGATCTTCCTCCCTCCTCTGCCTGCCACAATGCAAACTTACCCCTCTAGTATCATTTTAGTCTTTGTTAAGTGATCTTTTCTCGTTATAACGAGATCTTTATGTCGTAATAACGAGATCTTTATCACGTTATAACGAGATCTTTATCTTGTTATAACAAGAAACCAGACAAAAAAATAATTCTCCACATGAATGCAATACGCTTCCTTAATTCTTCATATAATTTGTAGGCAAAAAATATTTTAACGTTCAATTATTGATCTTTTTTTCAGGCTTTTCTGGGTGGAGCCAAAGGATGATCTGTTCTGCCGTCAGGATTATTTGCGCGGTGGTACTGATCATTCTGTTAACCGTGCTTTCTATCCTGAATAAGTCAAGTCGAGTAATGAGTAATGTAATGCATGTGAATCATCTTAAGAATATATAATTACAGCTGGATATTAATGTATTGCTGTAGTGAAGTTTATTGGGTAATACAGATGTTAAAGTTTGTAATCTTTCGATCACTAATCTTTTATGGGAAGAGAAATAAAGAATGATGTAACGGCAGATACACGCCTTAGTAAGACGGAAAGAAGGCAAGCAAGATGAAAAGTCAGGTTCTTTGTTGAGTCTGTCCATAAAACAATAATGAAATGCTCAAATGTACATTAAAATGGTTTAAAAAATGTTCTTTATTTTGTCTCTTTAGGTCACTATCTGGGACCGCTTTTGCAGTTGTAAGTATAACGTAATCATGAACTTTGAGATTTCAGATCAGTATTTTTCAAGATTTTTTTTTTTTTAAAGGTCACATATTCTCCTCCTCTTCAACCAGTTTAAATAAGTCTTTGAGCGCCCCAAAACATGTGTGTGAAGTGTCTTGTTCTAAATCCACTCTGATCCTGTATTTGACCATGCCTATAAACACAGGCGTAGAATTGCGTATGGACGTGTCCATACCAATCTCAAACGATGGCTGAAATGTCCTCACCAATATTAAGGTTGAAGGAAAAAAATGCCTCATGCGGCACACAAAGAGTTAAATCCTGTTTAGAGGCATAACATTTCTCCCCCTTCTCCTTACACTCCCTCCTTCCACCGCTAGAGGGCGGTGTAACACAAAATGATGATTATTATTATTTTTACGTCATTTTAGAAAACCAACACTAATTTGCCAAAGCTCGTGAAATAATGTAATGTTAGATAAATGGGCTGTGTTGATATCTTCTCTCTTGTTTGACTCTGATAGGCGTACACCTGTCACGTGGTTCCCTTATCAGTCAGAAAGCATCAAGTACACGTTGCATCCAAAACAAAAGTGAAAGTGTTTTTGTTTGTGCGCAGACGGGGAGCAGTTCAGCCTGAGAGAGAGGAATGACAGAGACATTAGAAACAAATTATCAATCTATTCCGTAAGTAGGCACTGTTCAAAATATCATCTTTGAGGCTGTTTACGGCTGAATGTCTACAACGCAGCGGAGTTATAGAGATTATAATCCACTAAGTATCTGAACTGTGTCTGCTTGGCTTGCACACAGCAGCTATGACAAAGCAGCTTTTGATTCATATACTGTAGGCCTGTACTCACTATTCTTCTTTAACTTGATTATGTCTTTTTTTAATATGACGCTGAATCTCGTTTCTTATCTCTCCTTCAGGAACATGGACCAGGAAGGGGCCACCCGTGAGTTAATACATTTACACTTTTCATACATTAATAAAATATAGGTTTTGTCAAGATTCAGATTAGATCAACATTAAGACTGCTAATATTTTTTTTTTACATAGGCTACTTTATGAGTCCATGAGAGGAAATTCTAGTTTTAAACTTTATTATTGAAAGATTGAAATAAATAATAAAACAGGCTGAAGACTCACAGCTGTGTTAAAGGCTTTTTAGTACAACATCAATGTCATATTTCTTTTACTCAACAGTCACTAAGCGGCCTCTAAAAGTGAAAGTAAAACTTCAATAATTGGACCGGGCTTTTTTTTTTTTTTTTTTTTTTTTTTAAACTTATTTGAAACAGCAACCTTCTTGCTGTGAGGCAACAGCTGTAACAAAAGCATTTGTTTAAACATGTTTTTTATGTTTTAAATTTGTCAATAAAGACGGATTAAAAAAAAAGCTGTTAGAAAAGCAGCAACTTCCGGTCTTGAGAAATGAAGCCAGTGTTCCAGGAAGTCACATACAAACCACAGCCAAAAAAAAACATGTTTACAGCCTGGCACGAAAAACGAAATAGGTCTGATTAGTTATTGTCATCACAGGCACACACTGTGTGATTTAAAAAAAAAAAAAAAAAAAAGGCTCTTTTTTTATTTTGAAAACGTTACGTGTTATTAAAGCGCGTTAGCTGACATGATTGACAGGTGGGCGGGATATAACGGTTTGTTAAACTCGTCTCAGCTCCAGTTCTCAGCCTGTCCCATAGACTGTAAATGTTGATTATTATTATATCTCTCATTATATCTCATTTTTTTTAAAATAAAGTAAAAAAACAAACAAACTAGTTTTTAAACTAGTTCTAGAATCAACTTTGAACTGGACTGTTGCCAAGCAACACCTTCAAATTGTCCTGCACTCTTCCTACTTTGTGACTGTGAACATGTTATCAGCAGATCAGCTTCTTTCTGATGTTAATGTTTATCTGTGTGATTGCATTTACGACCAGCGGTGAAATGAGAGTCTGATGACGGTTGCTTTGGTGCTCTGTGTTATTCAGAGATACGAGTTTAATCAAACTGTAATTTAGATTAACAGAGCACATGAGGCGGAGTGATACAAACAGTAAAAAGTCCCAGTCAGTACGTCTACATGCACACATAGATGTTTAAAATATGAATAGGCCTCTAGCAACAATCAAATACACCTTTTGTAAATATAATGTGTAGTAAGGACTTCCTAAAAAAGAGAGTGAAGTCAAACTTTATTTATAAAGCACCTTAAACACAACACATTTAATCCAAAGTTCAAGATGGCGGTTCCAAGATGTGAAATCGCTAAGTGCCAATATGTCTTCCAGGCCACTTAGAAAGTCAATCTTGGTGTCAATATAAACATTTTCTGGGTCAAGGAATTCATTAAAATATCATTATATGATTATTTGTGCCACGATCAAACATGTATGTTAACTTTGGCAATGTATTACATCATTTTTCTTGGTTCCTAGGCAGTTGGACATGATTCATGTTTTCTTTCTTCAAGTGATCCCTCCCTCCTCAACTGTTCACTCTGCCACCACATGGCAAAGCCGTTAGCTCTTCTTTATCTTGGTCTGGTTGCTATGACGTCTTTAAAGTCTGTTTGACAGTTGTATGATGACTCATCAACCTTTCTTTTCCCCGTCTTTAGTGTCCGGGAAAAAGTTCTATGTCTCGGTGTCGGGAACAACACATGGGGCTCATGTTCCTTGGGTCAAACAGTTCAGAGGCATGGGCCACACCGAGGTCCAATCTGAAGGTGAAAGTAACTACATTCTGCTGTTCTGTCCCATCGTGTCCCGAGTTGGAACAGACATCAGTGAGGCTCTGGAAAACATTCAACATAGTAAGTAATAACCTTGTCAGTGTGTGGAAGATTTTAAATCGATTAGCTAAAGATCAATAAGGAGCAATCAGTTAAAAATATACATTTTCTATATTATTCTTTATTTTGTTTGTTTACAGGTCGTTATGGAACTTCAAATTCCTCTTTCTTTTTTACAAAAAATTACAAAGTTTCACTTCAAGCTCCTTCTGCTGCCCCCAAGTGGCCAAGTAAAAACTAAAACAATGAGTACTCAAAACTAGTATCTTATTAATAATTCTGGTTAAAGGAAGAATGTCCAACTTTTTGCTCCGTAGTCCTCGACTAGAACAGCTTTCATACGCAGAGGGAGGAGTCGGCCGTCCCCGTCTTTGTAAACCTGATGTCAACTTCTTCTTCTCACTCAGAGAGACATTTACACATTCTTCCTTTAATGGAAAAAAATAAAAAGAGAAAGGAAATGTATAATGTTGTACAAATTATATTTCTTGTTATTATTTATGGTTGTATTGGCTACAAACTGAGAAGAAAACAATATGATCTCCCCTTATCATATATTGACTCCTTTAACTTGTGTTCACAGGTAACAAAGCAGTTATTCTGGTGGTCATGCATCACACCTTCAACGCTGACTACGTGTTGGCTGAAAGCAGAAGGCTGGTCGACAACCCAAACGTCTGCCTGGTTGTGGACTGTCTGTTCCACGAGGGACGGCTCCTCAACTGTAACCGTAATGACATTGCACGGTTTGAGATCGAGAAGTTTCTTGGAGTTGCTTCTCCACCTGCTCAGGTAAAACTAGATTTACTGCTCCTGTAATATCAGTGGATAATGATTTATTGTAACCCTCTGTAGTAATGTTGTTTTATCATTCTATCGTTTTCTAAATTATTTTCTTTATTTTCTCCTCTTTAGGTTTCTGTCTTGCAGAACGTTCGAAAATGTAAGTATAACGTAATATTTTTCAGCATTTCTCAAGCTTTTTTTTAAAGGTCACATATTCTCCTCCTCTTCAACCAGTTTAAATAATTCTCAGAGCTCCCCGAAACGTGTGAAGTTTCTTGTTCTAAATCCACTCTGATCCTGTATTTGATCATGCCTATAAACCCCTCTATTTCAGCCCTGCTCAGAACAGGATGTTTCTGTGTCTGTACCTTTAAATGTAAATTAGTTTGTGTCTGACCACGCCCCCCTCTCTGGAAGGGCTTGGGTCCGCTCGGGCTTTCTTGCATCATGTCCTATTGTTTATGGTGAGAAGGCAGACTCAGAGGGCAGAACAAACAGCTAGCTGTGGGGGTGTCACCCACCTGGGGGAGGGGTTACTGCCCTTTGTGATGTCATGAAGGGAAAATCTCCAAACGGCCTGTTTGAGCACACATTTTCTGAAAAGTGGAGCAGGCAGAAGACGGACAGGATGGACTTTTCTTATAACTGGGGGGTTTGTAGACAGACTAGAGACACATATTAGTGTTGGACAAACATAGTAGAGTGTGTTTTGTATAATATGTGACCTTTAAATTTAATTCAGATAGTGCAGATGTGCATTGAGATTAAAGAAGGACTCCAACATTATCTATATTATTTTAGTCCTACAGTCCTGGTTCTGTATATAAATCTCATTTACTATGCAAATCTCAGTAATCGCAAGAAACAAGTGTTTTTTCACTCATCACATTAACACTTATTCTTCATGTAATTTGTAGGCAAAAAATATTTTAATGTTCAATTTTTTATCTTTTTTTTTCAGGCTTTTCTGGGTGGAGCCAAGGGAAGATCTGTTGTTTTGCCACCGTGATTATACTCGTGGTGGTACTGATCATTCTGTTACCCGTGCTTTCTACCCAGATTAAGTAAAGTCGAGTAAAGGCCGTCACTAACCGAGAGTTAACCATCTGTTTACTCTCACAATCGAATAACCTTGAAGTATTAGGGTGACACATTAATGAGTAATGTAATGCATGTGAATCATCTTAAGAATATATAATTACAGCTGAATATTAATGTATTGCTGTAGTGGAGTTTATTGGATAATACAGATGTTAAAGTTTGTAATCTTTCGATCACTAATCTTTTATGGGAAGAGAAATAAAGAATGATGTAACGGCAGATACACGCCTTAGTAAGACGGAAAGAAGGCAAGCAAGATGAAAAGTCAGGTTCTTTGTTGAGTCTGTCAATAAAATAATAATGAAATGCTTAAATGTACATTAAAAGGGTTTTTGTTGGCCCCAAAGAATTAGATGAGAATGTTAAGTGTACAACTATTGTTGTGTTATAATACTTGTACTTTTTTTTGCGTTTTGAGATACTGATAATTTTTTTTCAACATGTGATTGATCAAAGTTTTGATTCATTTGATTTTTGCTCATCATAAGTATTGATTTCATGAAGAATAAATAATTATACACCAAGAAAAAGTTGATTCTGTTGAATTTTTAAGTCGCCCCTCAATGCCTGTAGTAGTAGTAATGAGTTAGTAATGAAACACGATTTGACTGCAGTGTCTCGAGCCTGTACCGCTTCTAATGTGAGGATCAGTGGTAAATGGGTTTTGAGGACATGGGAAGTCAAGTCAAAAAACGGGATGGCAAATGGAGTCAAATGTAGAAAATATAAAGTCAAAACAAACTGCACCTGCTTCACTTGGATGAAGATTTCATTTTGGAGACTGCAGCCAATGAAACCGGGCCAACTTCCTGCACCAAACCAGCCCAACAATCTGAGATGATTCAGCTAGTCTCTGTGGATGGAGCAGGAAACATACTCGGGTCAACACTAGGATGGTTGATTGAGACAGTCCAATAAGCAGATAGAGAAACTGTCCATTTAACGTGTGGAAAGTTTTCAATCAAGTCTACCAAATTCTCTTTTATCGTCATTTCAATCGCAAGCAAAGTTCACAGTGAGAATACATTTTGTCCATCCAAGACTGCGATGCTGCTTTAGACAACTGAGAATACACAAGAATAAAGAGGTAGAAGTTAGTGCTGTAGTCAAGACCACACTTACTGAGACCAAGACGTACCTGAGACCAGAGTGCTCCGAGACATTTAGGGTTTAAGACCGAGACATTTAGGGTTCAAGACCGGGTCAACACCAAGACCAAGGCAGGACGAGACCGAGACAAGACCAGGACATTTAGGGTTCAAGACCGGGTCAACACCAAGGCCAAGGCAGGACGAGACCGAGACAAGACCAGGACATTTAGGGTTCAAGACCGGGTCAACACCAAGGCCAAGGCAGGGCGAGACCGAGACAAGACCAGGACATTTAGGGTTCAAGACCGAGTCAACACCAAGACCAAGGCAGGATGAGACCGAGACAAGACCAGGACATTTAGGGTTCAAGACCGGGTCAACACCAAGGCCAAGGCAGGGCGAGACCGAGACAAGACCAAGACCAAGGCAGGACGAGACCGAGACAAGACTAGGACATTTAGGGTTCAAGACCGAGTCAACACCAAGGCCAAGGCAGGGCGAGACCGAGACAAGACCAAGACCAAGGCAGGACGAGACCGAGACAAGACTAGGACATTTAGGGTTCAAGACCGAGTCAACACCAAGGCCAAGGCAGGGCGAGACCGAGACAAGACCAAGACCAAGGCAGGACGAGACCGAGACAAGACTAGGACATTTAGGGTTCGAGACCGAGTCAACACCAAGACATTAAGGGTTTGAGACCCTTCATGTCTTACAGCAGACACATTCGATGATCTCTTTACCTACTTACCCCCGTGAGTTGGAATGTCGTTGTTGACATCTAACAGTATGCACTTCTTATTTATTTTACATCCCAGTCTTATCAATTGACCTAAACCACAGTGACAACATCATAAGAGCATCAAAAGTCTTTGGAAAGCTGTAAAAAAAAAAAAAAATGAAGAGCTGGACACGTTTAAAAAAACAACAACAAAACATCGAGGTGAATGAAAAAGAAAGCCCTCCCATTCTATGATGACCCCGAGACAAGACTGAGTCAAAATGCTTTCGATTTCGAGGCCAGACCAAGACCTTCAAAAAGTTGTCTTGAGACAAAGACCGATTTCGAGGACTGCAACACTAGAAGGAATATGAGATTATATAAGTAGTTAAATGAGTAGCAAAGCAAATTAGATTAAAAAAGAGTTCAACCAATAACAGTATTTTAAAGTGACTAAAACAGAGAAAGTGGAAATGTATTAAGGGACATTTTTGCAGCATGGCTGAATATTTGAACAACAGACTGTATATTGAGCTGGATGGAGCAACATTCCCCCTGGAGGGAAGCCAAAATATTCAGTGTGCCCCCTGCTGACTGGTTGGCTGGCTGCAGTCATAATCCTTGCGTCCTTCATGTTGACAGACGGGACATGGAATCAAAATATTGTTAACTTGTTGTGCCAAAGTGTTCATTTTTCTGAGTTGTTTTGTTTAAATGTGTTTTATTGAAAGCTGCTTCAGGCCAACCCGTAGCCACATGAAGTGTGTTTTCATTTAATAGTTTGAGCCATGTCCCATCTGTTAACATGGAGGAGGCGGGGTTTATGATCTTTAATGCAGCCAGTCATTAGGGGGAGCTCTTAGTAGTTTGGCCTCACTGCCAGCTGTTGCGCCGTCCATCTTAATACACAGTACTGGAGTCCTTACCCAGGATTTCCCCAATTTGATTCTACTTGGTGGACTTGATTTTGATCTTCCCACTCCCTCTCTCTCTCTCTCTCTCTCTCTCTCTCTCCTCTTGATGACAGCTCTGCACTGAGCAGGGGAGTTCTGGAGGAGGGGGGATTAGTTGACATGAGGGGGGGCTGCAGGGATGTGGTGTTAAGGTCACGCCTCTGGCCTAAAAAGGCAAAGCAGAATACCAGCAGCAGTGGGCCGCTCTAAGAATAACTCAGGGCCTGGGGCTCAGAAACATGGCATGAATCTAACATTTCCTAGTTAGTTCTACAGTTTATTCAGACTTATCCCAAAGGAACAAAACAAAGTAGACTTACTGATACAATTTGATTTCTGTTTGTTGAGTCCAGCAGCAACATTGGCTGTTGGGATAAAGTTACCTTAAAGCTCTCTTTCCCCTCCGTCCGTCAGTCAGTCAGTCAGTCAGTCAGTCCCCGTGGTCGATCTAATTCTGTCAGACAAGCAGAGGAGGGGGGGTCCTGCTGCTCTATCTACAACCCTAGCTTCAACCCGGCAAAGGGCAAAGCCACTTTAAATTGGTCTCTGTCCGTCTTCCCCCGGCCTCATCCACTACAGCGGAAGTCAGCTCCCTGGGCCACGTCGCAGACATTTGGACCCATTCAAAGTTTTTGAGTTCTGAAACTGCAGATTTTAAGAAATGCGAGTGGAAAAAGAAGCGTAAGTGTGACCAGTGGTGGACACATATCCTCAGCATATGCCATCATAAAACGTGGCTGGATTGGAATTAAACGTTGGGATTAAGTCGCTTGGAGGAGTTGAGGATCTACCGTCAATTTTTTATTTTTATGGGAACTTAATCTGCATAAAGGATTTTACTTTTTTTCTGTTTTTTTAAACTATGACTGAAGCAGTTGAAGGTAAAGTATCCATCCCATGAAGTGTTACTAATCAACTAAAACCCCCTGGTTTCACTGTGTTTATGAAGCTCTTGTCTTGTTTTGCACACAGCCCCTCTGATGCTTTCTGGTGTGTTGGGGAGAATTTCATGATTGGAAGTTTCTAAAAATATGCTGCTATCATGTAACGGCTATTTGTAATGCAGCTTTAAGTCCCCTCTGTGACATCGACCGAGCTGCAAAGGATCAATCAGCTCCAACACTGTGCTTCCTGTTGCATTTAAACCACATCCCCTCATACAGGGATTTTAATCGTTTTCCTGAGCATGGTAAATGAAACAAGACAACATAAGGATCCTAAAGCACAGTGTTGTCATTTGCATGAACGCTATGCCCATCTTTGGACTTAGAGAGCTTAACAACCAGTTCGGGTGGATGATTGGGCCTTTAATTGCGAAAAACAAGATGCCATTACCATTTCCAGGACATTTCTGAATGGTCACAACAAACATTTTATGGAAAGAAGTCTACCTGACTAACTTCTCCAAAGATTTAAAACACATCCCAAGTAGTTTATCAATAGATTTAAGCTAACAACAACATGACAACTTAACCAGCTCCAGGACTGTTGAAGCTCTGGATAAAGCCAGTGGATGGATAGTATTTATTTTGGGAAATTTTAACGTCTAAAAGAAACATCCAACAACAAATAGTGTGCTCTTGTGATGCTCCTAGGACGTTTTCCACATTAGTTATCTCCACATATCAATCTCCAACTGCTAGCTGAGTCTTTTTACATTTTCTCAAAGAAAGCTCTTATTTGGTGAGACTCTGAAACTATGGAAGTGTAATATATAAGAAATAACGCTATGAAATATCTTGCCTAAACGCCTGCAAATAATAGTCAAATCAGGATCACATCAATTGCAAGATGATCAAGTAATCTTATGGAAGTCGATCATTTTTGCTTGCAAATTAAACTTGGCTGATACGCAAGATTGATTCTAACACTGAACAGTTTTCAAACTTGCTATAACATCGAGCTGGATTTTTCTCTGGAAAGTTTTAATTTGCTGCTCATGGCTTTGAATCTTTGGTTATCTATAAAGCTTTTGGCAGCAAATGTTCTTCAGAGAAATTAGGAAATTGTGGCAGTTTTGTGAATTTTGCAAGCTTGGCCAGAATTTGTAGTTGAGTGTTTTTTTTGGAGGATTTTCCATGGTATGGAAATGGTCCATACTTGGTAAGGTGGTTGTCCATTAGCCAAAGGGTAGATCAAATTTAAATGTTTGACTATAACTTTAAGAATCTAGTTTCCATACTGGCAATTTTTTCTTCAGGTACAGACAATTAAGGCGTTTTCACACCTACAGTTTGTTTGCTCTGGTCTGAGTCATGGACCAATTTATTAAATTTATGCATAATTACCTCAAGTTTGGTCTGTGATCACACGGGAACATTTACATGCAGACCAAAATGTGAGATGCGCGCAGGAAAATGCTCTCTGAAAAACCTAACAGTAAATAAAGACCACTTGACTCCTGCCTGGAGTGGCTGCTCCAAAAACACTTTCCAACTTCAAAATAGACAGACAACTACAGGGATTCATGTTTGCTGTGGTCATCGATTTTTATGTTGTTTGCATTTATCAATGTAAGCAAACGATAGGCTACAGTTGAGGCGCAACTTCCGCTTGCAAATAATATGTTGATGTACCGTCAATTATATCTGTTAACACATGTTCAGCAATGACGAACAGAGATGGCCCTAATGGTTGTTTCCTGCAGTGAGGTAGGTTCATGTTCTTACTACAAATGAACCACACAGAGTCTGAAGATAAGCTAACCAAACCCACCTTTTTAAGCAGTCTCTTTACGGTGGTTTGGTCCGCACCATGCTTCGATTGACAGCTTTCACACCAGTGCAAACAAACCAAAGGTTAGGTGTGAAAACGCCTTAAGAAATCAGAGACCAGATGAGACCAGTGGTACTATACTTTTTCTGAATTCCACCAAATTCATACTGTAATGACTATACCTGTTATCTATTTTCTCACATGGATATTTGCATCCAAACAGTCAGAATGATACCACACATAATGATAACTTTTCAGCAGGTGTACAATACTCATTCCAGTTAAAAAAAAACTAGGAAACAGCAGCTTGAACTCAGCTCCAAACATGCCCAACCAGCTGAATCCCAAGGGTCTCTGCTGCACGTAGTTCAGCTCTGTGAACATATTAAGTAACTGTTATGACTACACTTCTCTGTTTTCTGACCGAATAGGCAACAACTGGCCCCAAATGACTCCTCTGAGCTGAGCTGCCATGGATACCCAGTGAGGGTAACAACAGAAAAGTCATCCTCAGTGTGCAGACAGGTCAGCCATAAAAGGAGGACTCATGCAGGGATGGATGGTCAAAACCATTTAGAGATGGGGTTTAAAACCCGTTGGTCAACAGAGGTTTAATAGTGATGTGGACAAAAAGATTTAGGAGTTAATATGTCCCACTTGTGCTCACAAAAAATTGGGGTTTTCTGCTTAAGGAAAAGGCCACAAACAAATGGAAATCATACATTTTGGACATTTCAGTTTTGGGATTTCTCGTGCAAAAGAGCACATTTCCCCCCCAGGGGATGGCTCAAAGGGTTAGTGCAAAAACTATAACATGTTGGCTTTTGATTAAAAAAGGAAAATAAAAGCACAACCCAATATTTACCAAGATGGCCATTAAGCAATCAACTGAACAAGCATCAGAAGGCATTGAAGGCCGCTAAAATCTTTAGGATGGGCTATTCAATCAATGCCATATTTGACAAAATCACACCAGTATTTATCAAGACATGTTGCTGTGGACCAAAGTTTTTGTTAGCTTAACCAACTGATGGGTTGGCAAGTTGTTTTTTTAGTGGTCGTCGTCTGATGGTGTTATTTCATGATTTAAAAAAAACAGCACAGATCAACACGCAATTTAGAGAAGGGAATGCTACACATGATGTGTGTGTGTGATTGACAGCGAGGGGAAATGCTTTCTTTCTCAACAACGACTGGTTAAACGTCCAGTCTGAACCCGGTGCTTATCAGTTAGTCTACAGTGGACTGCCATTGGGCAGCTCCCAATGCTGCAAGGAGTCTGATTAGAAAGCCTTTATAAAGCCAAGCTATCAATGAGTAAATGTTTGATGTAGTTGGTGAATTATGAACTTTACAAGATCTTAATTTGCAGACTTAATGGAACATCAATAATATGGTTCGATTGAATGATGGTTTTTACCCCTCCTGAAGTTAAATTCAAGTAATTGATTAACTTTAATACTGATGACATTAGCGACAACAAATGCTAATTCTAGTTCACCTTTTCACACTGTTTTGAGGACCACAGATGTCTTTATATAGAGCCAGACTTCTTTCATAGGGATAACCAAGCTGGTGAAATAGAGCTCAACAGTGTGGTTCAGGAAGTAAAAGCCCCATTCATTTTCTCCCTAGCAGATTTGATTATTAGCCATAATGCCATAACCATCCAAAGTAGACTTAGCATGAGCTACCCGACTGTGAAACGATAGTATATGTTCCTGTAGTGGAAGACACAATGTCATTTTAAGAAAAACATGATTAAGTCACGATCTCATTGTAAAGAACAACATCACCTTCAATCCTAGAGTGTCACAGCAACGTCTCTGATTGGGGGAGCCAGCTGTAGCCATGGAGGCTTTGGCTGCCGATTGCTACCACTGAAGTTGCTGGAAGTTCAACACACCAAGACAACGGTGTATTACAACATTATAAGTAACAATATAACCATTAAAATAAGCATAAATGTAAAAATAAGGTAGGTGTATGTTCAGAAAGAAGCATGCAAAATATTGTTTGTAAGGTCACATTGGAATGGCAAAGGATTGTGGGATATGTAGTTCCTTCACTCATGAAAAAAATAAGTACACAGCCTCCTGTGTCTGCCCTTTTTTCTCTGTTTTCCAATTAATTTTTGGTGCAGAATCAAATGTTTTAGAGTCACGAGTATTCGGGTAGCTGGTTGACTTGGTTACAGGATTTAATATATTGATATAAGGGTTTTCCGAAATGTAACTGGAGGATTTGAATGGAGAAGTTAACTTCCCGAACCAGAGCCAGCGAATAAGTGGGCTGTCACTGACGAGCTCTATTGCCAGTCTTTCAGTGGCACAGAAAATAATCACTTTATTTATATAGCACCTTTTAAAAACACAGATTTTGACAAACAGCAAAGGCCAAAACGAGAACAAAGTAAACTAAACCAAACACAGAAGAACATAAACAGCAAGAATATAGCAAAATAATCTGAGTAATAAAACACAATACAACAGAAAAGAACCCATTTAGCAACATACCCAACCGACATGTATAACCCAAAATGTATGCCTTGTCAAGTTTTTTGAGTAGCACTGCACTTTAACACTCTCAGAAGTTATGTATACATCTTAAAGAAGCATATTGTGTCTGCACATACTCCTGATAATTCCCTTATCTAAACATGCTTCAGATAGTTTTTTGAAAACTAAGAAGTACTTGCTGAAACAAACAGTGACTGTCAGTTCCATGACAATAGTACCACACCAGGCTCGTCTGGGTCACTCTTATTTTGAACTGACCTGGAATCAGAGTAATGACGTTAGACAGAGATGTGTGTGTGTGTGTGTGTGTGTGTGTGTGTGTGTGTGTGTGTGTGTGTGTGTGTTAGGAGTGTTTGAGTCAGCAATAACAGAGTAACCCAAAGTAGCTGCCAACAGTGAGCTGAAGAGAGTCAACAGGTGGCCCGAGTGTTCCCAACACACCCTCCCAGGACATTAGCAAGTACACTGCAGCTGATTTTAAAAGACAAAACTAAACCATTACCTAGTATCTTTAAGAAAACAAATGAAAAATAAAACTGTGATAGAATGATTATTGGTTAAAGAAACTGTTTGTAGAGGAAACCTACAAGATTGCTTAAACAAACAGACAGGCAGGCAAGACTGAGTACCTACCTGTAGTCTAAAAAAATATTGTTTGACACCTTTTTTTGACCATGTTCAACTTCAGAATAAATTTTCTCCCATGAAAAGTTATCCTTAGTAGTCTTAATGTGTATTGAAATATGCATTGAAGTGCTTTGAGTGTAGGCCTGCAGTAGAAAACAGTAGGCTATGTGTTGTGTTGCCATGTACGTAAACTAATTTGAGCAAAATTAAAACAAAAAGATAGTGACATTTGATAGAAGAAAAACCACTATCTGCCTGATCATGCTTAATCATGAGGGGCATAAAACCTGGGCATCTCTCAGCTTTCCCCCCTTCCTCCCTGTCTCCTACAATTTGAAATCCTCATCGTTTTACAGGCATTGGTGGTATTTCTCTTCAAACTGTGGAAAAAAAAGATTGAGATAGCCGATAGCCGTAAAATGTGAATCCCACAATTTAATAAAAAAACTGTGTAGCAGAAGTGGACTTTGGGTGTACACGGCATCTTCTAAACTAGATGTATGGATACTAAACAGATTGTTAAGCGTTTAGAGAAGTGGTTCTCAACTGGTAGATCTTGAAGACGTGTCTGTTTTGTACCGTCTGAGGTCCAAACTCTGTAATTTGTCATTTAAAGAAATTGTATTGGTTGCAAAATATCAAAAATCAGGGTCGCAATTTTCATGCAGGAGTTGGTGGTGGGTCCTTAAGGCTGGATAAGTTGAGAACCACTGATCTAAAGTCACTGGTCACTGTGGATGATTGCATCAGCATCTAATCGCTGTGTTTTTGCCTCTCAGCTCGATCGTCGACCACCACCACCACGATGGTCATTGACGGTAAAAGTGGAGACGTCGGTTCGCAGCCCGCGCGACTGAACAAGAAAACGTTCACGGAGGACCTCCACTCCACCTTCAGCTCTCCTCTGGCCTGGATCTTGGTGCTGGCTCTCTTCATCACATGGTCTTGTGTTTTTGTAATCATGTTTGATCTGACCGACTACAAGACCATTTCAGGTAAGAAGAGGTTTGTCTGCTGTTCATTTGAGATTCTTCCCATTGTCAGATCTAGTTTTGCAGTCTCTGTTTTCATCAGGAATCAACACTTAACACGAGCTGTAGAGGATTTTACTGCTTTAAAATGTTTAATTTATTTATGAATGTGTATGTTAATCTATAAATTCTCATAGATGGAGTTCTGCTGTGTACATTTTCATACAGGGGCAACTAGCTTTAGCATTTTGTGGCGGGGCGTTAGCAGGTCTGTTCTGGCGCCAGAGGACCAATGATAACTAGTTCTGGTTTATTCACGGCTGTCAGATTTGTTCAATTTTAAGAGCTTTGACCTTGGGTGAAATTGATGTTAAATTCAGCATTATTAACTGCACTTAAATTGCCAATGTTTCTCTGTGCAGTCAGTTTTCTGGCAAACACAGATCATTGCTTGTGTCACATTCAGCGTTCAGGTAATCTGGACACCAAGTTCAGGTCCAGGTTACTTTATTTGTACCCGTAGGTCAATTTGGTTCGAGGGAAAGTCACTTAATACAACACAGACAATACATAAAACATTCAAAGTGCAAATGCACGATACAAAAGTGCGGCGGTGCAAAGAGTGCGCAGGTTCCAATCGTACTATTGATAAAACAAGTTGATCTGTAAAAGTTACAGAGCCGAGAACACTAGAATAAATAATAAATGAATAAATGCATATCGCACAAGATTACAGCAATATGGTGTACATTTCAGCATTGTAAGGCATTGTTCTGGATGTGCAGATTAAAAGGTCTGGTTCTAAAGTGCATCATGTCCAAGGGCGTAGGTTATGGTTCAGATTACATATCCTTTCAACAATGGTAGTATTGCTTCCTCTGCTTACAAGAAACAAGCAGCCATAATCAATATTGAAATACAATATTTGTTAATTAAACTTTTATATAGGTCTATGATCCCTTTTGGACGATAGAAACTGTAAAAAAGTTTTCAGGGCGTTTTTCAGGCTCTTTGTTTGCAGGTATTCCTTTGCCCACTGCATCCAGTCCTGACAACCTCCACCAACAAATCAGGACAGCTTGTATGTAACCTGAGACGTTAAACCCATTGCAAGAAAAGTCTGCAGACGTTCACCAGCACAGTCTGCTGTACTGTAAGAGGAATGTAAAAGATCTTCTCCACTGTAAATAGGCTTTAATATCTCTTTTGTCCCCATTCTCCTTTTATGTTAACGTTGTTTTAGTTGCATATCAGACATGTCATTTTTCCATCCTCCTTCGATTAAGTATGATATGATGTCTTCATGTTTGTTTCTGCAGCACAGTGATTTGCAGTGATATAAATATGTATTGTACCTGCTCACATGTTTCTCTTCAACAGTGACTTAACTAAAAGTTGCAAGCATTGGTTCCATTTTTTCTCACAACACTAAAACAAACAATGCTTCCAACATATCATTCATACCCGTTCATTTCTAGTCTACTTACTTTTTCTAACCCTAACATGAACATCTTCCTTTTAATTTCTCTTTCATTACTTAGTGGGTGCAGACGGGGCAGTGAGGGAATGCTACTTTCAAAATCATGCTAGTTTTAGAAGCTTACCAAACCTGCAACCCAAATCGCATATAAGGCTTTATATGCGATTTTTCACACTTAAATGTAACAGAAATCAAATATATCCTCTGAAAATAACTCTGTGACTCATGACTGTCTACAATGGGTGTAACACCCGAGTCCCACTGTCTGTGATGTTTTCCGAGTTTTCCGAGTCCCATCTTCAGTTTGTTCACATCGCAGGACAGCGGCTGACTCCTCCCCTCGTGTATAAAAGTTGTTTAATTGAGGGACTAGAGAAAAGAAGAATAACATATTGTACTCACTGCTTAACTGTGTTTCTAGTTCACGCTCATTTCAGGTAAATTTACATGCAGTGTGAAGATACCAGCATAATAAAGATCACTAGCATTAGCATGCTAACACAACAATGCACCACAAGTTGTTTTGGTTTCATGCTGGTGCTCAAGGGCGACATCTGCTGGATCAAAAAATCGCATATAAAGCCTTTAAGTCATGCAAGAAACTGGAGTAGTCTAGCAGAACCAGAAATGCACATTTGGACAACATCATTTTAATCTTTCATATTCATAATTTTACCTTGGAAAAAAAGGTGAAAACTTGATATTAATAGAAACAGCAACTTCTCCTTTTCACTTCCTGACTCACATGGAGTAAAAAGCTTGCCACATCTTCATCTTCTTCATGCCATCACAGTGTGAACACAAACACATCTACTACTATCCTTTTCTTCTTTCTGCTCCACCTCAATGCTGAATCTCTCTGCTCACTGTGTTTCTCATCCAACCAGGTCGTCCTCCTCCTGCTGTCAGGAAGGTTTTAAAGGACACAGGCCGTAGAGGCAAGACACTTTATCTGCTACTAACCCCTGTCAGACCACAAGCTATTGCTAATGCAGCTAACACAAAAACACTAATCGGCTAACATTGAGTGCTAACTTCAGCCATCAATGTTAGAGAGGCTTTCAGCAAAGTCTGTAGAAGCTGCTTTATGTTTGATGCTTGATGACAAGTTTACAATTCAGATGAATATGATTTTAGCAATTAGTTTGTAGTTTAGACTGTGTAGAAGAGCTGTTTCTTAAGTGACATGAGCATGTTTTTTGTGACACCTAAGAATATGGTAGTGCCTTCAGGTATTTTCTCTTTGACCTTTTTATAGACATATTTCTTGATGGACATAAGTTGAGCTTGAATGCCAAAGCGGTTCAAGAAGATGTGAAAAATGAAAAAAAATGAATGAAAAAATCAATCTAATCAGAAATCTCAGTCTTTAAAGGTCACATATTATGCTAAATTAGCTAACCCATGTTTCTCTAACACTTATGTGTCCCTAGTCTGTCTATAAACCCCCCAGTTCCGAGAAAAGTCCATCCTCTCCGTCTTTTACCTGCTCCACTTTTCAGAAAATGTGTGCTCAAACAGGCCGTTTGGAGATTTTCCCTTCATGACATCACAAAGGGCAGTAGCCCCTCCCCCAGGTGGGTGACACTCCCACAGCTAGGTGTTTGTTCTGCCCTCTGAGTCTGCCTTCTCACTGTAAACAATAGGACATGGAGCGAGAAAGCCCTTCCAGAGAGGGGGCGTGGTCAGACACAGCTTACATATTTAAAGGTACAGACACAGAAACAGCCTGTTCTGAGCAGGGCTGAAATAGAGGGGTTTATAGACATGATCAAATACAGGATCAGAGTGGATTTAGAAAAATAAACTTAACAGACATGTTTTGGATGCTCAAAGACTTATTTAAACTTAGTTGAAAAGGAAGAGAATATGTAACCTTTAAAAAGCATTTTTTCTGACATATTTTTCCTTTTATTGTTTTGTCTGTCATTTTTTTGTGTTCATTTTGCCTGTTTTTTATGCTTTGTGTAGATCTGGTTTCATTTAGGGATGGAAGTATGCAAAACTGTTCTCTGTTGAGAACCTCACCCAACATTTTTGTCTACATATATAGTTTTTATACCTGTCTTCTGTTTCAAAAAGGAACCATTTTACAACATTTTGTTTCTGGCCGAACACAGCTCCTCTTTCATCAAACTGTAGAGGAAACACTGGAAGACCTAATTGTTTATTTTCCGGCTCAAAATTCCTATTGTCTAAATAAACTATGATGAAAAACCAATGAGCGTCGCAGACATCAGTCCACTTCTCTTCCAGTCTATGATTAAAACCAATAAATATAGCTTGATGAAGGAGGACCACTACGATTGAAAAAAGCTTTTTGCAGAATATTATGTCATGTAGGCGTTTTGCTGCGGTTAAACTGGAAGGTGGGTGATTCAAGTTTGTAATAGAAAGATTATACACTTTGTGAAATTCAGATTTCAGCTCTTTTAGGCCCACCTCAGTTTAACCCTCTGCTCTGGAGCTCTGTCTTTGGACATTACCTCAGTGATGACAACTGGTCTGCACTGAGATACTGGATATGTTTGGCTTGATCAGGAACAAACAAGGAACAACAACCTGAGCCAAACTTAAAGAGTGACTAAGCTGTGTGTGTGTTTGTGTGTGTGTGTGTGTGTGTGTGTGTGTGTGTGTATGTGTGTGTGTGTGTGTGTGTGTGTGTTGTCCCTGCCCCACCAGGAGGCCTCAGTAAGATCGGCTCAGACCCCATGAAGGCTGTGAACGACGCAATGGATGAATCGACAAACGTGATAAGTGCGGTGTTCAAATTTGCTGCAAACCTGATCGCTCCTGAAGAAGATGAAGGTACAGTCATTGTACACATGGTAGGAAAACAAAACGAGACATCCTGTGAACCCACAAAGAGCTATTTCATTTTTTATTGATAGGAGGAGGACAACATTTTGTGTGACTGTCCAAAAATATGGACTATTTAAAGGGGACATATTATGTAAAATCCACTTGTACAGTTTTTTTTAACATTTATTTGGGTAACCTGAGTGTCTACTGACCCACAAAATGTGAAATAAACCCATCCAGTCCTTTGTTTGTGGTCTGCATAAGTCTTACAACACAGAGAAAAATGCTCTGTTTCAAATGTGCTCTCCTTGTGATGTCACAGTGGGATTCTGGTAAAAAAAAAAAACCCTCCCCTCCCCTGGTATCTCCACCCATGGACTCCACCCCCAGCCTAGAACAAAACTTTTGCGCAGGTCCGCCATTTTTATTCTCGCTACAGAGGAGTGATGTCTACAGGGAAAACTCAGGCAGGCTCATTACATTTAAAGAGACACACACACCAAAACAGAGCGTTCTGAGAGAGCTGGTTTATACAGGGTCACAAATCTCCTCTGGTGCTTGGTTCATGTTATATTTTGACCAAAGCACAGCACAGATGTTTCATTTATACCACAGGGGACTGTTGGAAGGTGGAAAAGAGGGATAATATGTCCTCTTTAAGCAGTTATTGCGTGCTGACCAGGAAAGAAGAGGCTCATTTTGGATAACCCATGCCTATATGTACCATGATGCAGTGTACACAAGTCAAAGCCTCGGTTCAAAGCATTACATTTGTGTCCGTTAATGGCGTTGTTTTCTTGCTTCTTTGCAATACAATCAGAGAGCAGGGACTTAAAAGCGAAGCTGTAATAGCTTTTTGTTCTTCCTATCCCTGAACCACGTCCACTTTGGGTGTTTTTGATACTACACACCTTATCTCTAAGAGATAGATGAGGTTGAAAAATACCGATATCTCTGCTTCAAGTAAATGAAACGGACCTCCTTTGTTATATCTCTTTATCTTATCAATTCCTGACGTTCCTTTGAATTCACTGATTCCCTTTTCTTCTTCTCCAGGAAATCTATACGCAGTGAGAAAAAAAGGTTTGTATTGAAGCATTTTGTCAAAGTCTTCTATTGCAAGTACTACGCTGCTGCAGAATTAGAGATGACAAAGTATTGCTCGCTGCTATGAATGTCTTGTTCAAGCTGCACTGCACTACATGTGTTGTTATTTACATATATTTTTAGAGGGATTTTAAGAGTGAAACCAAAGATGTTCTCATATTGAAATTATTTTTGATGATATGAAGGAAACATTGAAAGGCAGAAATGTATTTGCCGCATGTTTTTCGGGCTGAAAATGTGTCTTTATGTTCTTAAAAACATGTAAGAAACATCTCATACAGTATAAAAACATCCTCTTGCTTTCATGCAATTTATTCTACTTAACTGCACATGTACTGCAATATGCATACAGCATTTTCTTTGCAAGCTCAACAATAGAATAAAAATCCCAAAGATGCCACTCTAGCAATCATCTTTCTGAATCTATCCATTCGGATAAGTTAAAAGAACACAGAAATAACTTTAATTTGTGGCTGAGTGACTGTAGGAAAACGTATGAAACCGTATTTGTAATAATAGTGACAGTTTCAAGCTGACCTGATCTATGAACCGTCTCAAAGATTCGAGATGGGTGGAGGAGGAGGAGGAGGAGAAAGAGGAAGTGGAGGTGAAGAATAAGAAAGCAAAAGGTATATTTTATGGTTATTCTGCTAACATTTAGATTAACTCTTGATGGATATAACCAATCCTGTCCCTCACCGTTTTAACAGAAGGTAACCCCAGCACTAGCAACACTCGAAGTAACTTATGTCTTACTTTTCTACCTTACAACTTTTTCTTCAGACGCTTGTCTCTTTTCCCCCCAAAAAATGTTCTGCGCTAACTGCTTACACTAAGCTACTAATACTAAACCTGTATGGGAATTGGCATCTATTTGTTTTGTGTGTTGTAAGTCTCATTTATGTTTCTCTTTCTGTGTTCCAGGAGAATTTCTACCATCCCGAAGTAAAGGTACGACAGATGCTAAAATCCGTTTCATAGCTCCTACAGGAGTGAGTGTTAGCATCCTCTTACCTCCGAGATCCTTTATTAATTAGGCTACTTAAAGTTGCTCTTAGTTTTAAAAAGTATCATTTAATACATGTTTAAGTTGTTATTCGATTTTTAAAACCGTGCTATTTAAGTGCTAACTCTCTATTTAGTATTAGTTCCAGGTGTAGCTTTATTTTGCTCTAATAAACCCACTGTACATTATAACATCAACCCTGTAGTATCACATTAAAGACGTACAAAATTAGTGACTACCTAGCATAAAATGAGGCAGTTAAGAAACACCAATGACCATATTTGGAAGAGAGGTTGAAGCTGGAGAAGAGCTAGGTTAGTGCTAATGCTACGGTTAGCTAGGTCTTGAATGTTTCATAGGATGGATACAGCTTTGGAGGCGGAGCCCCGTTCCAATAAAAGCTGCTCAGTGGCTCATAAAGCTACAAAAGTCTGACTTTGTGCGTAAAAGTACCCGGATCTTCAGCGTTATCGGGCCCATAGTGCATATGCTATCCAGCGCCCCTTTTTTTGTCAATAAGTTAGTATTAGATGTACGTGTATGTATGAACTCTAAAGATATGAAGGGAATTAATAAATATTTGTTTACAGTGTCTAGTTGAACACTACATTAACAAAAGCATAAATCACTTGTTTTATAATATTTTCTATGCTGCTTTTAATAATTATCTGCACGTTTTTGTGGACAAACAGTTTCCATAAGGGGTCAAAAGGTGAAATATTAAGAAGATTTGGGAAACAGCAACATGTTTTAAAATTGTATTTATTCATAAGAACTTTGATAACTGAAATTAAACAACATCTTTATGTTTCTTACAGTTATAGGGATGCAAGCAGAGACACAACTACCAGCTGTTGAGGTCGTGGAGGAGGAGGATGAAGATGAGGAGGAGGAGGTGGGAGTGGAGGAAGGAGAAGAAGGAGATGAAGTAGAGGATGCTGGGGAGGAGGAAGAGGAGGAGGAGGAGGATTATTATGAAGAGTATGAGGAGTACGAGGAGGAGTATGAAGAGGAGGAATATGAGGAGGAGGAAGAGGAGGAGGAGGAGGAGGAGGGGGAAGAAGTAATGGAGGAGGAGGAAGAGGAGGAGGAGGGGGAAGAAGTAATGGAGGAGGAGGAAGAGGAGGAGGAGGGAAAGGATGGAGAGGAAGAAGAGGGAGCTGAAGCTGTGGATGAGGAAGAGGAGGAAGAGGAGGAAGCTGAAGCTGGGGATGAGGAAGAGGAGGAAGAGGAGGAAGCTGAAGCTGTAGAGGAGACGGAGGCTGAGGCAGAGGAGGAGGAGGAAGAAGTGAAGCAAGAGGGAGCAGCAGAAGCTGTGAAGGAAGAGGAGGAAGAGGAGGAAGAAGAAGATGATGAGGGACAAGAGGGAGCAGCAGAAGCTGTGGAGGAGGAAGAGGAGGAGGAGGCTGAAGAGGGCCCTGCAGAGGGAGTTGAAGCAGCTGCTGAGGAAGATGAAGATGATATCAAGGCTGAAGAGGAGGAAGATGAGGAGGAGGAGGAAGAGGAAGAAGGGCCAGGAGAAGGAAAGGTAGTTGGAGCAGCTGCTGATGAAGAGGAGGACGAGAAGGTAGATGCTGAGGTGGAACACGATGACGATGAAGACGAGGAAGACGAGAAGGAACCAGCAGCAGCTGATGTTGAAGAGGATGATGATGATGAAGAAGAAGAGAAGGCAGATGCTGCTGATGATGATGAAGATGATGAAGACGATGAAGTTTCTCCTGAACCCATCTCCACCTCCGAGGATGACGAGTCAGCTGTGTCACCTGACTCCGACTCTGACGTACCTGTCGACGTCAAGGACAGCGAGGACGACGTAACACTCCCCGATGAAGACGACGAAAAGGACGACGAAGACGACGGAGATGATGACGATGCATTCACTGACTCCTCGGAAGTCAGTGAATCTGCACTTCTTTCCAGTGACGAGGAGGAGGATGACGACGATGACGAGGACGATGAAGATGACAAATTAGCCGAGGGCGTCGCGACGTCTGATAGCGATGACATCATCGCCGCAGACAGCGATGAAGACCTGGAGCTGGACCTTCTTCCTCTTCCCGCTGCTGTCGAGGACGATGATGAGGAAGATTTCAAACTTGATGAAGAACGCCTGGAAGAGGACGTCAAAGTTGCTGAAGAAACTCATGAGGGTGATGATGATGATGATGATGATGATGATGATGAGCTGGACCTATCAGACGAGGATGTCTCTGTCGCCTCCTCTGACCACTTTGCAGACGATGAAGATGATGATGAGGAGGAGGACAGTGACCTCAAAGACGAAGACCTCGACGTAGACGTCCATATCGATCTCGATGATGACGATGCTCTCGAGAAAGTCGATGATGTCACCGAAGACGACGTCCACGACGAAGATGACGACGACAAAGAGGAGGAGGAAGATGACCTCCCTCCCTTTGAGAGTACAGACAGCGGAGTCTTAGGCGATGAAGATGAAGATGAAGATGACGACGTTGATCTTAAAACAGATGATGAGGAATCTGTCGGAGAAACTGTCCTCAGTGATGATCTTTCATATGACACATTAGACGATGAAGATGAAGATGATGATAAAGATGATGAAGATATCGACACCAGCTCGTTTGAGTTCACCTTTGACCTCGAGGAGGAAAAAGAAATCACAGAAACAATCGTTGACGAGGAAAAAGATGAAGATGAGCTCCCAGCGGGGTCATTGGCTGGTGAGCATGAAGACGACGACGAAGATGATAAAGAAGATGATGAAGATGAAGATGAAGATGTTGATGATGATGTTGACGACTTCTTGTCAGCAGGTACACGCCAGCATTATTATTATTATTTTTTTTAACTTTGATGACAGTGCACAGTTACTGGTTTACTTTGTTTCTGATTTCTGATTCAAATTACCTTTATTGACAAAAAAAAAAACAGTCATCATAACCTGACAGTGTGTGTTTGTCAGCCTCTGCTGCAGCGACGCTCACTGTCCAGGAGGAGGCAGTAAAGACCGAGGCAGACGCAGACGAGGACGATGATGATGATGATGATGATGATGACATCACACAGGCTGCTGATGAAGATCAGTCTGAGGAGGAGGACGACACAGAAACTATTGGTGGGTTAAACAGTGGTGTAGTGGTGCCTGAAGAAGATGGCATACTCTGGATTTTTACCCCAAAATGTGTGCAATGTGTTTGTTTTTCTTTCTCATAATGCTGTTCTATTTCCTGACTCAGGGAGAAATGCACAAAAATTCCTGTAAAATGTAAAAATGTACCTGTGCTGTCCTGTACCTGTGCAAATGGCAATAAACATCTATGCTATTCTATTCAGTAGTTTTGAAGATTAAAAGAGATACACTTGTCGATAGCATCTGTGAATGACACAGCTCAGAGATTTTACTTTTTCTTCCATTCAGAGTGAAGCTGCTCCCCAGAAAAGCAGAATACATCGTTGTGAACATAAAACCCCAAAATGAACCAATTAGCACCAAAAAGACGACTCTCTTTTCATTTCTTTCTCCCCCAGAGAAAGTAGAAAAACTCTGATTCCTGCCCATTAGCAACTCTATGACTCATGCTTGATCCACTTTGTTTATCCACCTTCAGTCGGCCGGTCTGCTGCTCCCGAAGACGAGGAGGACGAGGAGGAGGAGGAGGAGGATGAAGAGCCGACCGCTGACGTAAAGAAAACCGTGGACGAAGCAGAGGATAGAAAAGAGGAGTACGATGAAGACGAGGAGGAGGAGAAGGCCTCTGTGGATGTGAGCAAACCTGTGGCCGAACCAGAGGAAGAGGCGGCAAAGAGCGATCCCACAGGTCAGACAGCGGGCGTTAACTACACCTACATGAAGACGTTTTTTACGACTTTAACCATCAGACTGACTTCACCGGTACGCTCTGTGCTTTCAGTGTGTCCCTGCATGCACTCTGCCAAGACTGACGAGTCTGCAACCAAGACTGAAGAGAAGAAAGGTGATGTGATAAAGTATATTTAAAGACACGCTCCAGGAGAAGAAGTTTGTTTTGTATTGTGTGGTTTTAGTCATTTTGAATCGCCGTCTGGCAGGAGCCTCTCTGTGTGGAGTTTACATGTTCTCCCCGTGCATGTGTGAGCACTCCGGCTTCCCACAGTCCAAAGACATGCTTGTTTATTTAATTGGAGACTCTAAATTTGACCCTGAGCGTGTCTGGTTGTCTTGTCTCTATATGTCCGGCCCTGTGATTGGCTGGTGAACAGTCTGAGGTGTAACCCCGCCTCTCATCCAGCGGGGATCAGCGACCCGAATGGGAAAAGCGGTTTTGAGATAATGGATGGACAGTTGAGGGTCGCTGAAAAGGCCTTAAATCTACGCATCAGATTTAAAGTTACACTGTTTTCCTTTATGTTAATTTCTTCAGACATTGTAAATGCTTTGAGATCGGACAGATACATAAACCTTCAAAAACACAATATAAAAACAAACAAAAAACAAGATCTGTGCCGGTGTGTAGCATGCTCATTTATCTCGGCTTGTGCTACTTTTGCAACTGCTGCTCCTGTCTGGAAACTTCAGACCCCAAATTACTTTTTGTCTGAGTTCTTGCCCCAAAACTGAGATTACACTAAAGTCTCCATCCTGTTCTTAAAGATAGAAATCATTTCTTTAACTTCAACAGATGAATTACTCAACTTCTCTGGAGGTCGAAGCAGAAGAACATCACAACAAAAAACTTTGAAGTGTTTTTTTAAAGTGTGACTCTGTGTTTGTGTTTTCAGAGGCTCCGAGGATAGTGTCAGCTGTCAGAAGGAGAAAAGGTACTGATGTGAAGTGTTTCATTTGAACAGGATGCACAAATGTCTATCTGAGTCTCCCAAACAGAGACAATGATAACAACGTTGATGAATTAGTGTTTCAAATGCAATCTGCGTCTTTTGGCTTAGCGTGCACTTTGATTGATGGAGCCGGCCACAGGCTGCATTTGGAGAAAGTGCACATTTGCAGGTAGAATTATCTGGAGAGTCTTTGAACGTTTTACTAATCCGTCTTTCTATGTGACTGCAACATATAGCTAGTGATAAATACAAAGAAGAGGTTCATATTTAGTTGTACTTCTTCTTTCATAATCTTTACATTTTGAATTTTCAGACCGTGAAGCCGTGGAGCCAAAAAGGAAAGGTAGAGCACATCACTTATTCACATGAAAAAAACAAGACTTGCAACACTATGGCACCCAGATATATACTGATTTATTTTTCTAGTAAATCCTCTGAAAATAACTCTGTGAGTCATGACTGTCTGCAATGGGTGTAACACCCGAGTCCCACTGTCTGTGATGTTTTCAGAGTTTTCCTAGCCGTAGCTTCACTTTGTTTACATCGCCCGGACAGACGGCTGACTCCTCCCCTCGTGTATGAAAGTTGTTTAATTGAGGGACTAGAGAAAAGAAGAATAACATACTGTACTCACTGCTTAACTGTGTTTCTAGATCACGCTCATTTCAGGTAAATTTACATGCAGTGTGAAGATACCAGCATAATAAAGATCGCTAGCATTAGCATGCTAACACAACAATGCAGCGCAAGTTGTTTTGGTTTCATGCTGGTGCTCAAGGGCGACATCTGCTGGATCAAAAAAATCACATATAAAGCCTTTAAAGAACACAATGTTTGGAGCTCATCAGGAGCTCAGCAGATAAAGACGTTTATCTTTGGGAGCCGTAGTGTCTTTGTGCATCATATCCACGGTGTTCTAACAATAATGTCACACTTATGTCTTAAAGTTGATTAACTTCAAATTAACAAATAATAACTAACAAATTAACTTCTTCTATGTGTGTCATAGTAAATTAAGTGTTTTTTTTGTGTTGCAGCTTTACCCAGAATTCCCGGCCTGGGGGCGAAAATCCGAAGGATCAAGAGAACCCCTCTTCTCTTCAGAGGTTCGTTCTGTTCTTCTTCTGTGAATAACGAGGCTTACACCGAGTTAAAAAGAGGAGGTCAACAGTTTGGGATGCATGCTGATTCCCTGCAGTGGAATGTGCATGCAATGTGAGCCTGCAGCCGCAGCCTGCAGCCGGTTAGCTTAGGAGAACATCGAGATTGAAGAGATGATTGAAGAGATGATGAGACATGTTTTTACATTCTGAACTGAGCAAAGTTAGCTTATCCCACTTGTCTCCAGCCTTTATGCTAAGCTAAGCTAAGCTAACTGACCTCTGGCTGCATCTTTATATGTCACTCAGTGTTTAGACATGAGAGTCGTCAAACTAAGCTCAAACTGTGAAGAACTTACTAAAACATTTTAAAAAGAACATTTTCTTTTTTTAGCTGTGCTTGCTCTTCGCTGCTGTAACACGTTATGGGATGAATAAAGGTTCATCTTATCTCATTTTAAGTCGGTAATCGTTTTTTGTACCATCGCTGTTATTCCGATACTGTAGGTTTGTGATGATAAAAACTTTTTCAAATCCTCTGTAACAACATGTATTAAAACTGGATGTTTTTTTTCTATTTTGACTTCCAAATCAAAGCAAAGAAAGCAGAAAAGGCCAAGACTGAAAAACCAGGTAAGAGAATAAAGGAGTCACTCAGAGCTCACATGTTTCTGTCATAAGAGAATGCAATACGCTTCTGTGAAAAAAAACCCATAAACCACACGGATCAACTTGTGTTCTTATGAGTAAACAAACAGAGGGTGATAGATGTTGTATTTCAATGTGTTGATTTTTCTTTACAGAGACGGAGACCAAAAAACAAGAACGAGGCCCCAGAATCTGGAGAAGACGGTAAAAGACCGTTTATTTTATCACACCTATACAAATGTAAATATTCAATATACTAAAAATTGTTCCAAATGTCCAAAACAAGACCGGAAAAGAACCCAAGTCATACTTTTCATTCTCTCAGTTTTTGAAACCTTGTTTTTGAGTCGCTTTGCGTTGTAACACTGAATGTGAGTTTTAAAATAGTGTCAACACATTTCACAAACCGACATGTTTTCTTTGGTCTGTGTCAGTCGGCCCCTGCAGACCTGCACCCGTCTACTGCCCGTCTCCACCTGGCTGGTACGGTAAGTTGCAAACATTCAGAGAAAAGTTATCTTAGAAGAGAAACAATCTCTACTGATTTCTCCTCCTTTACCTCAACACATAAATGTCTGACAAACTCTTTGTCCTCCAGTTCATCACGTCGTCACAGACAACCCGTACCCTCCTCCAACAATGCAAGGTATCCACACACAGCCATCACACATCAGATAGAAGTGGGTTCAATACCTAGAAGAGACGTTACTGAAATCCTTCACTTCTCATTCAGCTCCCTCTGCTCCTGTCCTCACTGCTCACCCCGTCCACCCGGGAGCTCTGCCTCTTTATCAGCAACAACCTCCTCCACACATGCAGCCGCTCTACGCTCACTATCAACCATATCCACTGCCTGTGATGCAGCCTCCGCCTCCACCTCAGTCAGAACCGGTACAGCCTGCACCTGAAGCAGAACCAGTCCAGACAAATGCCACTGAAGCAGAGGCTCCAGCTCAGCCTGAGATCCAGACTCCACCAGCTGTAGCTTCGGTCCTGGGTGAGAGGACTGAGTCCATAGTTTGAACAACTTCTGAATGTTTTTAATCAAGTTTAAACAAACTCTTAATCCGTGATGATCCTCTATAACTCTACTTTTATTAGTTTTTACTGAGCGCCCTTAATTCAACAGAAACACACATATATATGTATATGGCCTGACTGAAATGGGATTTTTGGGAGGATAATAAGTGACCTTTAAAATAGTAATCACTAGTTGAATTTGAATGTAAGAAACGTCACCTCACACTGTTAAAAAAATGTGCTTTTACATGACACTTCTCTCTGTTTTAGAACCAGACGCTGTAGAGGAAGAAGTGAAGGCTGCTCCTGCCAAAAAAGGTACACGTGTGTTTTAAGGTTTTCTCACTTTTACACTCACTGCCGTGAATTCTGAGTAATCTGTGATTGTTCGACAGCTGAAAAGAAGAAACTGAAGGCTGCTGATTCAAAGAAAGGTACTTTACTCTTTACTGCTTTATTAAACAGTGAACTGGATCACCGCCAGTAAAGAACAACAGCTGCATCATTTAACAGTGTTTTTAGTGCATTGACACAAGGTGCTGTATGAAAGCATTCATTATGGGGAAATTAACTCTCTGCTTCACTCTAATTATCTCCTCAGAGCCGACAGCAGCAAAGGAGAAAACAAAGAAAGGTACTTCAGCTCGGTTGTTCAGTGTTTTCTTTGGCGCACACTTGAGTGTTGTTAAAAATAATTGAAAACCTTGCTCTGCTGTAAATACACAAACTGAATTACATGACAAAGTAAGAACTCAAAAGCATGACTCAGCACTTTTTTGTCCTTTGAAGACGCTGCCGATACAAAAGAAAAAGCCAAAGCTGGAGCTGCAAAGAAAGGTGAATACACACTGGAACTAACCCGGGTTATCTTAAGCATTATTGGAGTTTAATTTAATGTATAAATAATAACCTTTTACATTTTTTCTGTTACAGAAACTTCAGCAAAGAAAGAGAAACCAAAGAGTGCTGCAGTGGCTAAGAGAGGTAATGATCCTTTAGGGAGATGTTTAAGTTCTTAATTCAGGAAACTCAATTAAACGGGAAAACAATATCTAGGTAATATTGTGCTCTGAAAGTAAGCATGTAATGTTTAAACATCTCTGAGTTCATTGAATTTATTTTCCTACAGAGCCAGCTGTGAAAGAGAAAACCAAAACTGCTGCAGCTGTGAAGAAAGGTACATCAACATAATGCCAGAGGGTGTCACAGAAAATATGACAGAAAATGATATTAAAACATACACAAAGACCTTCCCTCCTCCACCCGACAGAGGTTCTAATATTTCACCAAGAAAACAATCGATTCAGGCCAGTGCTCACGTCTCGTTATTCGTTATTTCAGAGCCTGCAGCTGCTCGACAGAAGAGGAAATCAGCCTCTGAAAAGACAGGTACCTGCACATGCCATATTTGCATAAAGTCAATCATCGTAAACATTGGTGACTTGAAAGATGATTGGACGCTAATTGGTTTTGTGTCTTTTAGAAGCAGCACCTGTTAAAAGTAAAGCCAAAGCTTCTGCAGCTAAGAAAGGTAAAAACCAACATGCATGAAGTCACCGACATTTCTAACTTAAGTCTTCAGATTTTTTGCTTGCTCAGGATTCAGTGAAATAAAGTTCATATGCTTTTGATTTAAACAGATGGAGATGCAGAACAACGTCCACAACCGATCCGCCTGCGACCGAGACTAGAAGCTGTGAGGAGGGCGAATGTGACGGCTCAGGCGAAGGAGGAGAAACCTGTTAGATCTGCGTCTGAAGCAGGTAACATGACATGACACAATCATTTATCTTGAGCTTTCAGGATTTGATTAATTTGTGTCTTTTATAATATATATTAAAGGATATTAAATACATTTTAATATCCTTTTTATTTTCAGCCAAAATAAGATCAAAGTTATTGGCAGAGAAGAAAAGTAAGTGTAAACTTAAGCATGTATTAATACTCAAATGTAGACTCTGACCTGATGACTGTATAAAACATGGACGTCGTCTCAGTGACATCACCCACTGGTTTCTGAATCAGCATTATGAAGCCCATTGACGGCAGGAGCCATTTTGGAAATGCTGACTCAAACTGACTTTTGGTTAACACAGTGACAGACAGAGAGGCGGACCTTGAGCAGTGGAAAGAAGTTGAAACAGCGACAATGAGCCAACCTGTCATTAAGATCGACCACGCCCATAATTATGCAAATGTGTCGATTACTCCTGATATAATCCAAATGGATATGTTTAGAAAAAGCTGCATTCACACGCCTTAAAGCTCAATTCTGATTATTTTGCTCGGATCTGTAGAGTGGTTAGACTGCGCCCCATGTACGGACGCTGCAGTCCTCAAAGCGGTTGGCCCGGGTTGAAATCTGACCTGTGGCCCCTGTCCCGCTTTTCAATCCCCGCTTTCTCTCGCACCCATTTCTGACTCTACCCACTGTACTATCTCTAAATTAATAAGGCCCCAAACATAAACCTTTAAATAAAGAAGAACCTCTTTTCCAAGGGAGACCTGGCCGGGACAGGCAGCAGCACAAACACAAAGTTACAGACATAACGAGGACACAAAGAGCAATCAACAAAACACTCAAATTTACATTAAAATTGTAAATTTTTGGGTGGGGATTACACAATTCCCTTCACAATCCCCACCGGATTGTTGATGGACGGTCTGCCTCCGCCCACCCCCTTGCTCCCTATCCTTCGTCCTGCATCTTATCCCATCTCTCCCCTATCCCTTTCCAACCCTGGCGCAGTCTAGGCCTGTGAAGGCTGTTTCGTCATGAGTGCTCATGATGGATAGGCCGGGTCTTTGTAATATAGCAATGAGTAAGGTCTTTTACTGCTTTTTGTAACATAACAATGAGTAAGGTCTTTTACTGCTTTTTGTAACATAACAATGAGTAAGGTCTTTTACTGCTTTTTGTAACATAACAATGAGTAAGGTCTTTTTTCCTGCTCTTTTGTAATGTTAACAGACAAAGAGTAAGGTATTTTACCTGCTTTTTGTAAAGTGTCTTGAGATAACACTTGTTATGAGTTGATGCTATACAAATAAATTGAATTGAATTGAAATTCCAGGCTGAGGTTGCAGAATTCCCAAACGCCCTTTTCCTCAATTTGGGAAAGATATGTTGTGTCAGTTAGTAAGAATAATTCAAAGGCATATAAGACATGAACAATATTTAGATTCGTCAATATTCATATCAATATGTGGGGAGCCTTCACTTTAGAATCCATGTTCTGCTCATGTTGACGGCTCCACAGCACGGGAAGAAAACAGAAGAACAAAGGAATGAATGTCTAATAAACACAAGTCTAGTAGTGGAAGTGTTACGTCTCTGCTGACATATTTCAGGACAAACCACATGTGTTGGAAACATAGTCGGAGATTACGAGATTTAATGGGCTGTTTAATGCCTGATAAACGCCATAATTAGCGACATGTCAAACTTTATTACTCCGAGAGGGGAATAATTATGCAGGAATATTAAATACACTGCACAGCTATGGAGAGTTATTTGGCAGGCTGTAATATGGCTGTCTCTCCTCTCACAGGCAAAGCTGAGAAGGCTGAAAAGAAATCTGTCAAAGAGGCTCAAGGTTTGTACGCAGTCGGAATAAAAAACATGATTTTCACATGTGCACGAGGAGATGTGACTCTGACCAGTTTCTCCCCTTTTTCATATTTCAGATAAAGAGAAACAACCGACACAAGCTAGTGAGTATGAGAGCTTCAAAGTTATTTCACTTCTGTGACAAAAATACTCACTCTTAATATTAATATTAACTCTTCTTTGAGTATGAATGGTAGTATTTTTCAAATGTCTCAAATGGTTGCAAAAAATGGTTGTTTTGTTTCCAAGTGGAAGATGTTTCATTAAAGGCAGCTTCTATGGAGGAGCTAATTACTCAGACAAAGATACAAGAAACCTTACCGAAACATCATCGCTAATTCAACAACACATGCACTGCATTCGCAAGAAAATGTTGCAAAGCGAGAAGGACAACCTGTCATAAATGTCCCTTCAAGATTAAAGATTGAAAGATTTTATTTTCATTGTGCAAAACAACAAATCAATGAATTTACAATAAACCTGAAATCTGACTGCCACCTCAGCAATTTCTATAGTATCAACATAAACATGCTAGTTGCTGTATTTTAATAAATTTGGTCGGCGATGAAGTCAGAAACACAACCTAAAAGTAAAATTTTGTTTAAATGCACAGTTTGTAAATTCCACCTCCAGGGGGCCTCTCAATCAAAACAATAACAAAAGATGACATCGAGGCTAGCGGGGAATCATGGGAGTGATCCTCTCTGCTAGCAAGCTTAAACACACCAGGGTGACACTGCCTGATCGGAAACACAGGTTTATATACAGGTCAGAGTAATTATAAATCAGACACAGATTGGAGGGGAAGAGGCGGCAAACTGAACAATGGAAGAAAGTAATACGAGGCATCATGCACAAGCAGCAGGATTACAAAACATAATCCAACATAAACACGTTGGTTTGAAGATGTTTAGCTGTCCAGGTCATAAAAATACTCAAGAACTAAACGTTTAACTTTTCTACCACATTCAGATTCTTTATTGTCCCACAAGGGGAAATTTGTTTTGCAGCAGGAGCGCACAGAAGACAAAAAACACACAAGGACAACATCACCGTAAACATCAAAATCAGACAACACAATAAAATTGAAAAACCAAATAAAACATCGCCATAAAATCAGTCAAGAGCTCATACCAAGATGGGAACTTCTACCAAGTTATTAAAGTGCAAAAGTGGAGGTGTGCAATGTGAAATTCAAGTGCAAAAAGAGTAATTGATGTTTAATATATGAATTGCACTCGGTACAAATGAGACCTGGAGTCTTTCAGTCTTCCTCACAGGGGCTCCAAAGCGACGACCTGAGGGTCAAAGGTCAAACTCGCTGTTGAAGTGGATGATTTGAGTTGACGAGTAGAGCCTTAGCTTTCCTCAGGACCGGCTGGTTATAAATGGTCAGAAGCCCAGTCTGACACCTCCCGTCGTGATGACTGACGTCTCTGCACAGTTTAAATAAAGAAGTGTTCGTTTAAATTAACGTTTTACACTGTATGCTTGTTGTTATAGAGAGAGGAAATAGAGCCTCCGGTAAAGCCTAAGGTATTCATTTACTTTTATTTCCACTGGTTAACTCACTATGAACAGACGTCTGCGTTAATGACATCATGAGAGAACTTAATGAGATGATTGAGGCGAGACTTCTGTCCTTTTGAACCGCCCTGAGTCATCTGAAGAGATTACGGCCTTTTGATGAATACAGCAACAATAATACTGGATTGATTAAATCCGTGAACCAAAACCTATTAAATTAGGGTTTTAGTGTTGTGTTCTTAATGAGTCATCCAGTGGAGAATCAACACTCCCCCCTCCCCTCACACAGTACGGCACAGAGTGACTCCTCACTTTCCTCCTGTTACTGAGACACAGTAGATCCTGTTTCTGAAGGTGTGGTCAAAGACTTTTCATTTCTCTTAAACATAAAGACATTTTGATCGTTTTCACATGGCAAAGAGGAAAGACAAAACTTTATTATTCTGTAGAAATTTGTTTTCTTTTAAGATGTCGCTACTTTGTGGACATGTTTAACCAAAGAGTGCTGTTAAGAAATGGACTTGTCCACCATTGGTCCATGGATCATCTCAGATTTGGTGTTTTTGTTTGAAATGAAGGGACCATTTTTGGACAACAGAATCCAGTTAGAGGTGTAGGGGATTAGCGAAAACAACGCTAAATTGGCAGCTAGCCTTAGATTGATAGCCAGCATGCATCTCCAGATCATTAGATGCTAATTTATGGCTAGTAAAAAATACGATGAGATCATATCAGATGCTTTGTTATTATTGTTTGTATTCAATGGAATCAGCTGGACTTGATATTTAAATGTCAGCATCATGTAGAGGTGGGAAAAAAAATCGATTTATGTAAAATTTAGATTTGAATCGGCTGAGATTTTAAATTGATTCATAACTTCCAAAAATTGATCCTGAAGTATACAAATTCAAAATTAGACTTTGAATCATGACTCTAGAATCGTTTAGCATCGTAAATAGATTTCAGCGCTACTTTAACAGGAGAATAAAAAAACACAAAAATGAAAAAGAACATCACATCTTCTGTTTATGAAACCTTTGATTTTACTGTCTGAGCTGTCCTTCCTCCTCCCCTCAATCACATGCATGAATACACTTCTCTCTCTCACAGACACACTCACACATTACCCAATTATAACTGTTTGATTGTGTATTTCTTGCAGAGGAGCCCCATACTGAAGACAATGCCACAGAGAAGAAGAAACCAAGTAAGAGCATGTAGCACATGGTCAGTTTACCTTGGATGATTATGCCATTATGGCTAATCAAATCTGCTATTGAGAAAATTTAGAGCTTCGTCTAAAATAGACACAAGTTATCAAAAAAAAAATGTGTTGAGATCTGCTGAAACTTTTACATTTTCACAAGATGTTTACACCTTTAATCATAAGTCAGTAGCTTCTTCCACATTTGTCTGTTACAGAAAAATAAAAATATTCTCTTTAATATTTTCAGCTTTTATCTCATTATATATTTTTATTCATTCTTTGAGTTTTTATTTATTTTTCATATATTTCGAGCTCAGTTCCCCCACCAGTATAATATACGTTTCCCCTCATCGTTAGTAATCTTTCCTTCTTGCCTTTCTGTCTTCACAGGCCAGAGATACTTCCAGTGTATTTACATCCCGGGTAAAAACGCTCAGTACCCTTTACGACCTTTCAGCCCGGCCATGTCCCCCGCCATGATGTCCCCCACCATGATGACGCCCGCAATCCGAGCCATGATGGAGCAGCAGAGAGCAGCGAGGGCGGCGGGACAATAAGACGACTTGAACTCT